CAGCCCCAGAGAGCAGCATAGCTGGCCCAGGAGAGCCTGGAGGGCTACAACCACAGGCCGTGTCCTCAGGGTGGGCCGCCTGAGCCCTGTGGAGTTACTTCTCCACACGACTTGCCCAGGGTCCTGGACATGGAGCGACATGGCTTAATGTTTGCCCTGCTGGGTTTCGGTCTTGCTTTGGCCCCCATCCTTTCTACTTCCCTATCTCTTGGAATGGGAATGTTTACCTTTTGCCTTGGTGTGTTGGCAGTGCCTGACTTTCCTTCGGTTTTTAGAGGGGTTTGTAGCTAAGAGTTTGCCTTAAATCTCAGAGGAGACTCCAGACTTGGACTTTTCAGCAATGTTGAAATGTTAGGAGTTTGGCAACCCTCAGAGATAAACTAAATGCATTTTGTTGAAAGAAATCCCCATGAGTCTTTCGGAGGCCAGGGATGGAAGGATATCCTCCTGCCCCAAACCTCATTTGTCGTAAATGGTGCTTTTGGAAGCAACTGGGTCACAGAGCTGTGCTAATCACCCAGTGATTTTGGGTTAGTCCAGGGATGCTATCAAGCTGAGATCTGGTGGGAAGGGGTTGTGGGCGGCGGCCTGGAATGCCATGATCTAGAGGAGCCTTGAACACATTTTGAGAAGTGAAAGAAGCCAGTTGCAAGAGATGATATACTGTACAATTTCACTTACATCAAAGGTCCAGAATAGGCCCAGTCCATAGAGACAGGTAGCGGCTGAAGAGTTGCCTAGAGCTGGGGCTTGTGGTGCTGGGAGAAAGAAGGGGAGTGGGAGGTGACGGCTACCAAGCCCTAGGTTTCTTGGTGGTGAGACACAAATGTTCTAAACTTACTTGGGTTCACAGGTATGCAACTCTTAAAACCCGTTCCCTGACAGGACACTTCACACAGGTAAGCTATGTGACTGCGACAGACATTATACATCAGCAAAGTTGTTGGGGAAAGAAAGTGTCACCAGGAAAAAAAAAAAAAAAAGAAAAAAAAAAGATAAATGAAAGGCATTTTCATAAAAGAAGACTATATAAAATTTGCTTCCAGGGTTCATCTGATCGCTCAGCCGACTAAAGCGCCTGCTTAGGCAAAGCACAGTGGCCAGGCTTCAATCCCTGGCATGCTGTGTCAGCCCCGCTCCCGGGATGTGCTGAGATAGTGATTGAGATGCGGTGTGGTGGCGCGCACGCCTGTAATCCCAGTGCTTGGGAGGCTGAATACAGGAGAACTGCTACGAGTCCAACATACGTAGTAAGACCCTGTGAACCCTGTCCTAAATACAGAAAAAATAAAACAAACAAAATAAAATAAAATTTGTTTCCAGAAAGCTCCCACTAAAACAAGAATTAGAGGAAGTAGCCGAGGATATGGGACAGACGCTTGGAGATGCAGACAAGAATGAAAATTATATAAACACAGGCGGATCGAAAATCCACCCAGAGGGAAGGTGGGCTGGATCCCAGTCAGCACCCCTGATCTAGGGCAGAAATATAGGCCTACCCCAGCGCCGCACTCCTTCCAGCCCCAGGGCTTTGGGCATGCTCTTCCCCTGCCTGCACATGCCACTGCCTACTCTCCAAGGTCTGTCTTCTACTCACCCTCTGGTTTCAGTTTCAATTCCCCTTCCCCAGGAAGGCTGGCTACCCCTTCAGGATGAGCTAGGATCTATCTCTTTCCTGCAAGAGACTGCAAGATCCCTGAACCTTTTGGACACAAAAGGCACCAGTTAACTGCAGGGCTATCTGTGCGACCTTTGATCCTGTCCCCCTTACAATGTCCCTTCTTGCATTCCCTATACATTTCATCATTTTCCCCTTTTCTTGGGAAAGAGATGAGAATAAATTATGACTTAACTATTGTTCTCCAGTGAGTCACACCAGGATCTGCCTGTTCCTTTTTTTAGCAAAATAAGTTTCACATTATTGAGGCAAATGGGATGTGTAATGCTCACAAAGTTCCTGTGAGAAGCTGCTGTTCAAAAACGGTGCCAACTTGCTGCCTAATGATATTATTATCCTGAAGAACAGAGGGACAGAACAAGTGTAAACACCCTGCAGGAGCGGGGCATCGTGCTTGATGCACCATAACCCTTCATCTTTCCCTGAAGGTCCCGGATGACCACCTGCTCCTTGAAGTAGATGCCTGAGCAAAGTTCCTCCGTCCATCTGCCAGGAAAGATGGGGCAGAGACAGGCGGAGATCTATTCTGCATCCTGGAGAAAGCAGGCAGAGAGATTTCCTAGGCAAGGGGCTGAACGCAAAGTATACATAACTGCTAAATGAAGTAGGCTCACTTTAAGAGCTTTAAGTTGGGCAGGAAGGAGAGTAAAAAAAAAAAACTTATTGGTTGGCCCGTGTTGAAGTTTACTCACATTCTGTAACTAGGGTTTATCTTTAAAAACAAAAATAAGGTCTGGCCTAGAGAAGTGTGCCACATGCCTTCTTGCTAAGTGTGTGAAACTGAAAACAAATTCTATGAGGACAGGAAAGAGCACCAGCATAGACTGCCATTGGCAACTGCTCCAGGAATGTGAGATGAATGAATGAATGAACGAATGAGTGAATGAACTGCAGTAATGGCCAGTAAGTAAGCAGCACTTCCTGTTCAAAGCGAAACAGCACCAAGTATCCACGTCCGGCTCCCAAGGCGGCCTAACAAGCCGAAATCTCAAGGGTGGGCTGCTTCGAAGTAGGACTCTGCTAGACTGTCGCATTTCTTTTGCCTGAGTTCTTCCTACTGTCTTGCTTTAGTCGTCACCTACCCTACATCCACACACAGGTAACATTTGGGGGGCTGTGGATGCCATGGTTTGGGAGGAAAGGAAGGTGGGTGCATAGGAGGTCCCAGCTTGGAGGCCTGATCCCTACTTCCACCTCCCCAGTGGCCACATGCGAGTCAGGGACATGCAGACATCTAGAGAGGAGGACAAGACAGTGAACAACAGCTCACTCACCGGACTGCTTCTCTGCAAAGCAACACTGCAGTTTCGACCCAACAAACTCAGGCATCCACGAGATAAACATCACAATGCGTAAGCATATAAATAGGATCTTATATAAGATAAACTACCATTCTCTCAAAATTGCTTACATAAGTTGATTTAGTGGTATTCAGTGTCCTTATCAATGGGCAAATCAAGTTATTTAGTGAGGGCTACACATAGCACTCCAAACAGCATATGTGCGCACACACACACACACACACACACACGCACGCACACACACACACCTGTCCACCTAGGCAGCCTAGGCCCACACAATCACACTGGCATAAACTTCATGCCTCAGACAGCAATGTGTGACAGATTTCACAAGAGCACCCTGTTGTCACTCATCGAGAAGTGAATGTTTTCATATGAGATTTGAAAAACATCAGTTTAGACATTTTCAGGTTATTAGAGTAAAAAAAAAAAAACCCACCTATTAGAGACTTTTACAAAACCATTATTTCAAAAATAGCTAAGCATCAGAGCTTCAAACTTTACAACCTTATTTTTAGAAATTCTATTTGCATAATTCCAGGGGAAATATAAATTCATTTTAATGCTGGGGAGGATCTTACAAAGATACCATTTAACCTGGAGACTTTCGAGCTCACAGGAAAGCTGCACCTGGCATTGCTCAGCACTCAGGCACCCTGGAGTCCGGGACTCAAGGGACAGCTTTATAAGGACTAGGTCACTTTTAACTTTATGAGTTTACTGACAAGATACGCTCCCTTGGTCCTATACATATACGCCTAGATCACTTATTTAGAATGTTACGTACATGGCTGGCATTTCTGCAGGATGTCAGGTGCAGAGCTGAGTTCTGTCTTGGTTTTCAGTACGAAAACGTTCTCCAAAGTCTACTAATAAGAAGACACATCACCCCCAGTGTAACTTGGCCCATGCAACACAGGCGGAAGCAGACACTGAATCTGAATAATTATCAGACCAAACGATTTTATGAAGCTCGATGCAGCATGGGAGCCCGTAATCTCAGCACTCTGGCAGGCTGAGAAGTCCCTCCTGAGCAACTTAGCAAGACTCTCAAAACCAAACCAAACCAACATTTAAAGGCTTTGGGGAAGTAGCTCAGTGGTAGAACTCCTGGGTTTGATATTCAAAACCACACACAAAAAAGTAACAACAATGACAATGACTACAGACACAAGATTTTACCCAGCACAAGGCCTTGTGTTCAGGGAATCCTTTGGATGCTGTGTCACTGCCCCATGTAACCGAGGAAGAAGTGAGTCTTGGCATGCACCACCAAGACCTCTTCTCGCCAAAAGCTAGATGGGTCCTTCCAGAATCAATTTGGTACAACCACCCCACCCAGTCCAAGTGGCCCACAGCCTAACAATCTCCGGGACGGATGGAGCCCACCACACTGGGAATTGTCCTCCCGAGGCAGAAGCCCCAGAATGTGTTTATTTACACTGAGTAAATGAATTTGAACCAAGCCACAGCACTACTGCCCTCTGTGCCGTGGTGCACAGAACTCAAGGCACTGAGAGCCAACAGCTTCCAGGGGAAAGGTCACCAACAGCAGGGCAAGGTGGCCGCATGTGCCACGCAGGAGCTCACGCGGTTGCCTCCTGGGGCCATGTCTGTGGGCTGGGAGCGAGCCCTCTGAGGCTGAGCTTCAGGTAATAATCCTGGTGTCCTCTTACCCTGGCCTCCCTCCACTCCAAGTGTAACAACTTTGCCATGCAGATCCGAGGTACACAGGGGACAGTAAGAGTAAAGCGCTGTGTACCGAGTCCTCTTTGCCTCCATTCCCTTCATGTCCTCCCTCCCTCTATGTGACTGTCTTAAAGGAAACAAAGACACTCATTACTTTGTTCCAGAAAGCACATAATTCAAGGAGAAAGAATAAAGTCCTTAAGGAAGGAGAGCGTTAACCTGTTAGAACGTGAGCCTCAGCTCCAGGGCTGTGGCGACCCGGCCATGGCAGACAGCGGGGGTCCCCCCTGCAGCTCCCTTCCACCCGCCCCCCACGTTGCTCTCTGGCCCACCTGGGGTCAGGCCTGATGCACTGGGAAAAGGCAGCCATCCTCCTGAAAGCGATGTGGGCCTCGGGCTCTCTCATCGTCCTGGGAACTACCAGCAGGGAGTGGAGTGGCCTAAGGCTCCCGAGATACCACTGGGTGCTGGGCACAAGCCCTGGTCCTCAGCCTCCCGAGCAGCACCCATGGGCCACGAGTAAGTGGAGCTTCTGCCAACCCGGCACCCGTGCCCCGCAAGCTCCCCAGGCAGGTGTGCAGGCTGAGAGCTGGCTGAGGAACACACACTTCCTTCTTCCACTGCAGGCCCCAAGGGCCAGGGCGGGAGTGGCCTGACTCCTCAGGGAGTTGGTCTGGAGCCCTTGTCACCTGCCTCCCTGTGCCTAGAGTCGCCGCTGAGTGGCTGAGGCAAAAAACAAACTTACGCTGTGCTTCCTCCTGCTCACCCTGGAGGTAGGCAAAGGGCGTGGTCAGGGTGAAGCTGCATGTCCCTGTGCAGGCGGGGGCAGCTCTGAGAAGGACAGCTTGGACACCGCGGGACCCAAAGCAGGTTGTATGTTAAACACATCCAAGCCCAAGTCCCCCCTCTCATTCCTCGGGTCCCCTTGATGCCCACTTGTTCTCCATAGAGAACACAGTGGGGGACACACCCGTCTCTGCCTTACACGCCTGCTTTCTAGCTTTCAATTTTTTTCCTTGTGGCTTATCGTGTCACCCTGGGCTCTAGATATGTCTCCCAAACTGCTTTCCTGGAGCCATCCAAACGCTGCTTTTAGCGGAGCACCTGCTTACCCCACTCCCTGTGGCCCTGCTAGGGTTTCCAGCCCTTCCAGCTGGAGACCGCACCTGGCAGGTGCACAGGCCCCGCCCACCCAGGAGAAATTACCAACTGAGCCTGCCTGGCTGGGCTCCCTAGCCAGTCCACAAAGCCAGGAGCCTGGTGACCTCCTCTCTGATTACCCACAGCTACCACTTCAAAATAATAGACTCCTGCAGCTGGCAACTCCACCTGAGCCAAGTTCATTCCAAGGCTGACAGCTCTACCATCAGCAGTTTCCAGGCAACGTCTTGAGTGTTGACAGAGGCTCCAGGCAACCAGCGGGCGGGACTCTGCTATTAAAGCCCAGGAGCAGGCAGGTAGCGTGGTGATTTCTGAAAATGGTTCTAAAACAGTCCTAGCTAGCTTGCATTTCCAAAATGCAACTGTATTCAGAGTTCTAGTCAAATGGCTTAGGCTTTAAGGATGAAAGCATAACAAATACATTTAATGGCGACCAAAGCAAGCATTGAGACCATCGCTCAGAGCTCCTAGCCACCTCATACACACTGACCTTTTAGAACCTGTGGGTCCACTCCTGTGACCTTGGCAAGGGGGCCACTACTGTCAATAATTTATCTTCTGGGGGAAGCAGGGACACCAGGCTGTAACTGGGCTCCCTTTCTCCTGGGTGGTGGTTTTGGGGCTCTAGAGGACAACAAAGCAGGTGGATTACTGAGGGGGTATGAGCAAGCAAAACTCTATAGACCCATGTGGCAATTCTGCCCTGCTCAGAGTAGCCAGGCTGAGCCCCGAGGCCACCTCTGCCACATGTCATGGCCTTCTCTGAGGTGTCACTGCCCACTGTGGAGCAGCCGAAGCCCGGAGGGACACAAACACCGTAGAGGGCATAGCATTGCACCTGCGCTTCCACTGCTGAGTGCCCCGTGACTGAGGGGTTCCCTGAGGAGCAAGGAAGCCAGAAGAGATGGTGGCACAGCCTCCACAGCCAACGGTGTCGGCATCACCCCTCACTGCCACCCCCACCAGCTCCCAGCACATTCTCGGAGGCACAAGGTGCACACTGCACTCCTGCTCAGTTCCAGCCAGGTACTCAGGATTTCCTTTCTTTGTCTCTTTGCAGGGCCCATCCTGTATATATCCCAGGAAATCCGAGAACCAAATGAAAAGGCCAGTGACACTCATGGACATGTATTACAGTGCAACTTGCAAAATGCAACAGAAAATATTTTATGCAAAAAAGTTTCAGCGCTTCATGATAGGACCACTGTCCCCGTCTGTTTTCTGCTGCTGCAGATGTTCTGTATATCTGAATGCTGCAGATGGGTAACTTACAAAAAATAAAGGATCACTCAGCTTGTGGTTCTGCTGGGAGGCCTGAGTTGAGGGGCCACATATGGTGGGGGCTTCTTGTTGAAGTCGCTCTGCAGAGTCCCAAGGCAGTGAAGGGCACCAAATGGCAAAAAAGAAATGAGTGAAACTGACTTTCATAATATATCCACTCAACATAACTCATTAGACTGGATCCATGAATAGACCAATGCTCACAACCCCCTTACTCTGAACAGCCTGCGGGTCTCACCCCTCATACCTAACTGTGGGGGCTAAATTGCAACATAAGTTTTGTGGAACCATTCAGACCCTAGCGTGACTGTTAATATGTCAGCTTGATTTGAGTAAGAGCCACCTAGTAGACTCCCAAAGCTATGGGTGTGGCCAGCAATGACTGCCGGGAAGGCTGCACGCCAAGGAGGAAGACCCATCTGGACGTGGGTGGCACTGACCCATGGGCTTATAGCCTGGAAGTAAAAAGGCAAAGAGGGAGCAGGGGTGCTACTTTGGAAAGCTCTAGTCTTCGCCATGACCTCTGGGCATCGCTCTCCGGTGTCTTCAGCCTTCCCATGTAGACTCATGTTGCTGGCTCTTCAGGGAGCTTCCAGGCTTTGACTGCGTCCCTGACCCCTTTTGTTTGTGGCTTCCATCTTCTGGAGTTGAGCCATTCTTGGGTCCTCTGGCCGTCACCTATTAAATGCCCCTGTGTAAGTTTTTCAGACATTTTCTACAGATTTCATTTCTCTGGAGATGCCTAGCTAGTACCCTAGGTAGCTCATTTTATTCTCAGGGATATGAAAGAATGAGCCAGGTCCTGGTGGTTTCTATTCACACTCAGCTACACAACCAGCAGAGTCCAACAGAGCATCTCTCTGGTTTGTATGGGAGGAAACGCAAGATCGGTGAGGCTGAGCAACTGGCCCAAGATCGCGCAAGCAGTCAGTGAACATCCGATCCTCAAATCAAGGCTTGCATCTCACCCAAGAGCGAGCCCTTCCCCGATGGCATCAGCCTCCTAAGAAATCCAGGCCAAGTGTCTCAGAGGCAGGTCAGGTTCCAGCCTTTCAGGCTGGCAGCCGGGAAGCGAGGATCAAAGGCCTTCCTAGTCCTCACCCTGCTCTCTAACTGTTGCCCCTTCTGCAGAGCCTGGCCTAAGGAGGTAAGCCAGCCGTGCCTTGGAGCTGTATCCTGCACATGTTCCAAAGGATGCCGATGGGCGTTATGGCACTGAGACACAGCCACTGAGGGGAATCTCTACAGGCACTAAAACTCATGTGACAGGACAATATTTAGCACATGGGAGACACACTGCAGAGGGGGAGGAGGCCTCAGTGGTGCTTCTGGAAGCGTCATGCGTTGCATTGTCCCAACCTTGCTCAACATCAGTGCCACTTCGGTGAGTCTGGCCGGAGAGCCCTCATTCCTAACCCTCCCGGGGACACAACCTGATGCACCAGATCCCTTTGAAGAGCACCACCCTATAAAATGATACATGCAGGAAGAGCACGTTATTTTTGGAAAATCTCTTAGTGCCTACAGGGGACAAAGGACTAGAAAAATTGAGAACCGAAGTTGTCTCTGGATTGTGGAAGTGTGCAGATGTTAGACTTCTTGGCTGTGCTTTTCTGTGCTGTCATCTTTTGGATTGAACATATATTTTGTTCATAATTAGAAGCAGCTCCAATAGTTCCTCCTAAAGACCAGGTGGTTCGATGTAAACCAACTGGGATTTGGGGCTGGGGATTTGGAATTGAATTACTTTCTCTCTCTGGGCTCGGTTTCCTAATTTGTAAGCTGAAAGGAGGCTGTGATGCTCCCAGGAGACCCTGTGCGTGAGCTTCCCTCTGGTGTTCTTGAGTGTCAGGCTCTGCCCCTCCTCAGCTACAATCAGGAGCTTGTGTCTAGGTGCGCTTTTGCATGGTTTCCTCGTTTGTCTCCATCTCCCCTTTAAGGACTGGAGGAGAATCCATCTCTGCAGGAATTTGGAGCACAAACCCGCAGGAGACACAGCCAGGTTGGCCAACCGTGTGGCATGCTGGCTCGGGCCCACATAGAACTTCCCCTCCTAGAAGATGGCTTCTCCCTTGCTCCTGCTACCTGGGAGGTCCATTTCACACACCCTGCACCCAGGAACCACTGTGGCTGTGCTCGGATCTCAGACAGGAACAGGTCCCCAAGCTGACTGGCCCTGGACAGGGGTGCAGAGCTGCAGGGAATAGGCAGGGGACCTCTACACATGTGCCACTTAGCCCACCTGTGCCTGTAAGGCCTCCTATCCCATGCAAAATTTTGAACATGCAGGTTGTACCCCTCCAAGAGAATGGCTAGGCACACTGTCCCCAAGTTCTCTTCAGCTGCAACATCAGTTAAGCCCAACAGTTACAGCCCCAAAGTCCAAATGAGAACTTACGTTCCTTAGACCAGCTGTTTACAAGGCTCGGAAATGAGTGAGCAGGTTTTAAGACCCCACGCCCCCAACACAAGTGCTCCAGGGATAAGCTTTTGTGTATATGTGGGTACCAGGAATTGAACTCAGGACCTCACACTTGCCAGGCAGGCGCTGCACTGCTGAGCTATGACCCAGACCCATCCAGGGCTGCTTTAGAAGTGGTGCCTGACATGTTACATCCTTTTCTGGCTTAATATATACCAAAGTGATGTTATGGAAAACCCAGAAACCATTGCAAATTACACTGGTGCATAACCCTAAGAATAAAAGCAAGGGACTGGGGAGATGACTCAGTGGAATAAGTGCTTCCTTGGCAAGCACCAGAGCCTGAGTTCAATCCCCGGTTCTGAAAAAAAAAAAAAAAGAACAGAAGCAGCAGCCACAGGACACATCGCCACACTGACGGGACATGAGGTGGACAACAGAATGAAATCCTCACCATCTAGGCTTATAAAACCCAAGCAGAGCACCTGCTAGATAACAAGTCTTCATTCATTTCCAATAAAGTTTTCTGGGTTAACTTTCTTCTGTATGTCTAAGAAAAAAAAAAAAAAAAAAAAAAAACCTTTCTCACATAGTTGATTTCATTTGAGCCACGCAGTAAGATCCTCTGACAAGTGCCCTGTGTGATTCAGATGCGGGGGAAGCTCTGGTTTGACACAAATATCCTCCTCTTTTGTAATTCTGAGACAGCACATTTGGCGCGTGAGGCCACTGAGCAACATGGAAACACATCTGGCTTGTTATATGAGGACAACTA